TGGGCAAAGCTGCCAGGCAGTGGCCAGAAAGAATCAAGTTAACCCCTAACTCAGCAGTTCCACTAGCTTCCTACCTCTGTGCCTTGCACACAATGACTCTCCTAAGAGTCCCAGTGTTTTGACTTAGTTTTACTAGTATAAGATTTTATGTATTCTTTACTTTCTTATCTGGAAACCACTCTTTTTTTTTTTTTTTAAACTTTATTTATTTTATTTATTTATTATAAGTACACTGTAGCTGTCTTCAGACACCCCACAAGAGGGCATCAGATCTCATTGCAGATGGTTGTGAGCCACCATGTGGTTGCTGGGATTTGAACTCATGACCTCTGGAAGAGCAGTCAGTGCTCTTAACCACTGAGCCATCTCTCCAGCCCTGGAAACCACTCTTAAATGTTGTGCAAAACTTATTTCATAACTTCAACAGTTTTTTCCTTTCTCTGGGTCCCAATGTTGACTCTATTTTATTTTCTAATAATCTTTTCAAACTTTCTTTGCAAGTCAAGCATTAATCTGGAACTACCATTGTGCAGTTATTGCATTGTTTCCCAGATGAGAACACACAGCATGCACCTGGGCCATTAGGACTCTGCTGTGCTGTGCCCTATGCCTCAATTTATAATTGTTTAAGAATCATTACATCAGGGAACACCTAGTTTCACAGAATTCATCAGAGCAGAAGGAGAAGGGAGTAGGAAAATCAGATATAATAGAATAATTATGCTCTCCCAGGCCAACTGAAAAGCAGTCATGCACAAATGAAATCTATACAGCTGTTGTCCAAGGCTAAGGTTAGGAGAAATGGGCACAACTGTTTTTTTTTGTTTTGTTTTTGTTTTTGTTTTTTTAACAAGGAGCTGCCTCAGGCTTCTGAGACATCTGCATCCCAGCCTGCTGTGGGCAGTCCCTGTGATGGCATGCTATCCCCCCCCCACCCCCCAGCAATCACTGTGTGAGAGTAGATTGGCTTTTGATTCCCCTGGTCTCACCATAGGGTTTTGTGGCACACTTAGTTGAGAATTGGCCAGAAAACAGACTCAGCTGGGAACTTGCTCATTGCATAGCCATGTCCTCTGCTAAGGGGGTTGGGGTGTCCTACTGGAGTGACATGATTTACTCATGTAAGTGCTTAAGCTGTGATGGACAAGGAAACCAAGTCAGGAGAGCCTGGAGGGCAAAGGTAAAATGTGGGCACTAGGTTCGGACAAGGTAGCTAGCTCACTGAGAATAAAACTGTGGACATAGAGACTACAAATCTATCCCCCTGGGTATGAGCGCCCCATCTGAGGCACAGCTACACGTCTGCACCCTCATGTTGGGCAGGCTGACCACTTGAGGCCTGGTCCTGCCTCCCTCCTTCATGTTGACAATCATGGGCAGGGAGGTCATCTCTGAGGCAACACACTGCCGAGGCCCCAGAAATGGCCACCCGATGGTCAGAGACTCTGGTGGCTGCAGGCAGCTGCCCACACATTCGTAAGTCAGGAACCCTGGCGGTTCTAGGATCCAGTTCTCAGCCCACTTCATTCCTTGCAGGTCCAGGTACATCTCCTGGCGACAGCATCTGGTGCCTTCAGTCACTGGTGCTTCGGGGTCGCAATTGCCTTGAGCTCTGTTGGGGTAGAGATTGAAGATCACCTGACAGAGCAGGGATCAGGAACAAGTGGGGAGGGAGTCCTACCAACAATTTCCTAAGGTATTCAAAGAGAACACTGTGAAGGTTAAAGAACAAATAAATGTCTAGAACATAGGGTAAGCTACTGCTTATTAAGGGTCTTGGTATGCCAGGACTAAGTAGGGCCTATGTGTTACCTCAGGTGATACTTGTACTTCATCCTCAGAGGAATCCTGAAGGAAGTTCTAGTCTTAGCCTTGTCATACCTAAGGACACTGAGACTCAAAGGTGCTCAGTGATGTGACAGAGGACCAGTGAAAACAGACCCTAACTACGTGACAAAGGCCTGGTCTTAAGCATTCCCTACTTGTCCTCAGTGACCAATGTCCATGGGAGATGGCCTCCAGAAAGCCCAAGGAGGTATAGCCTGTACATGTGACCTATGCATACCCTCCTATTAGCTCTAAACCATACTTGGATACCTGTAATACCTAATAAAGTTGAGCATAGTGATGCCTGCCTTTAATACCCCTACCACTCAGGAAACAATGACAGATTGATCTGTAAATTTGAGGCCAGACTGATCTACACAGAGTTCCAAGACAGCTACACAGTGAGACCCTGTCTCAAAAAAAAAAAAAAAAAAAACCCTCAACAAGAATAGTGAAAAGGTTTTTTAAAAGTACATGCTAGCTGGGCGGTGGTGGCGCACGCCTTTAATCCCAGCACTTGGGAGGCAGAGGCAGGAGAATTTCTGAGTTCGAGGCCAGCCTGGTCTACAGAGTGAGTTCCAGGACAGCCAGGGCTACACAGAGAAACCCTGTCTCGAAAAAACCAAAAAAAAAAAAAGTACATGCTGCTGGACCTGGTGATGCATGCCTATAATCCCAGCACTAGGGAGGTGAAGGCAGGAAGATCAATAGTTTGTGGCCATCCTGAGCTATGTAGAGAATTCAAGAGCAGCCTGAGCTATACAAGACCCTTGCCTCAAAATACAAAACAAGAGCTGGGCAGATTGCTCAACGGAGGAAGTGACAAATATGAGAGCAGCCTGAGTTCAAATCCCTAGTGCCCACAGAAGGCTAGCAGTGCAGTGTGCCTCAGTAATCAATATGCCTCTAACATAAAATAGGAGGTGGGGACAGTAGACCCCCAGAAGCTTGCAGCCAAGCTACATGCCAAGTAACATGGAGCCCCTCTCGCAAACAAGACCTAAGGTAGGCACTGACATTCAAGGTCATCCTTTTACCACCACAAGCCTACTGTGGAACAAGCACACCACACATACACACCACATATACATACCACATATATACAACATACATATACACATCATACATATGCACACACATACACACCACACACATACATACCACACACATACACCACATATACACACCACACACACACCACACACACACACCACATATACACACCATACATATACATACCACACACACTACACATATACACACCACATACATATACACACACCACATATATACATACCACACATATACACACCAGACACACACACCACATATACACACCATACGTATACATACCACACACACCACACATATACATACTACACACACACCACACATACACACACACCACACATACACACACACCACACACACACACACACACTATAATGCTTGTCAGGAGGAGCAGGATGAGGAGTGGAGACTGCTATGATAAAGATACATTGTATATATGTATAAAATTCCCCCAAGATAAAGAATTTTTAACAACAACAAAAAGGCTATGCAAGAGTGGCAAGATAAGTTAGCAGGAGAGAGCTTGCCATGCAAGACCAATGACCTGACTAGCATTGGATCCCTGAAACCCACATAAAGTGAAAGAGGAGAACACAGTGCACGGAGCAGTCTGCTGATCTCCAAATGCACATAGGTCCACATGGCACGCATGCGCAAAAGTAGCAAATACAAATGTTTAAAGTATATGCTTAATAAGATGGGTTTTGTTGTTGATTGTCCTGTTTTTAGTGTTTTGTTGTTTGTTTGGTTTGGTTTGGTTTTGGTCTTGGTTTTTTGAAACAGGATTTCTCTGTGTAGCTTTAGCTATCCTCTGTAGACCAGACTGGCCTCGAATTCAGGGATCTGCCTGCCTCTCCTTTCCAAGTGTGGAATGGGCCACCAAAGCCTATCTTGAAGCTAAAAACCTTCAAAGACTTATTAATGAAGTGAAGAGTGGAGATGGAATGTTATAACTCAATATTTGACTGATAACATTTCTAAACGCACCACTAGAAAATATTATAGGTAGGAATGGTTCATCTCCTGGGGCAGCCTGTACAGTCCACACCTGAGGTGGTCCAAAAACTTGGAGGGGCGGGGGCGGAGGGGGATGAGGATCCGGTCTATTGCATCTCTAGCCACCCAACCTCCAGCCTACCCGTAGTCCTTGAGGTCCAGCGTGTGCAGCTCCAGCTGTGGTTCTCCCTGCTCCTTGCCATCTGGTGTCCCCTGCGCCGCGAACCGAACCAACTTGTGTGCACTCCAGGTCCCCGGGCCCAGATGCTCCCTCTGCACCGACACCTGGAGCAGCAGCGGCTGCCTCGGCCGGCTCAGCTGCTGCCAGAAGTTCACGGCCTCGGTCACGTCGAAGGCCTTCCAGCCGCTCTCGTGGATGGACACGAGCCTGAGACACAAGCAGCGCGCGTCAGGCGAGAGGACTGGCAGGCTGTTGGGGAGGTCCTGGAGGAATCTGTTCTGTCTTGTCTCCAGCGCTATCATCTGCTGCTGCCCTCCCCCTGCAGGGCCGAGCCCCGCACTTCCCAACTCTCCCAACACACACACACACATACACACACTCCTCCCCCCCCCTCCTCCTTCTCCCCCTTAACCTCCCTCCTCCTCATCATCCTCATCCTCCTCATCCTCCTCCTCCTCCTCATCCAGCAGCATCCCCTACCTGGAGTCGATGAGGGCAGTGCGGTTGGAGCCATCCTCACGGACTCTCAGCCATTCAATGGTGACCCGAGCCCGGGCACTGTGTGGAGACAGCCTCTCATACCTCCGGAGAGCTGTTCTGGGTACAGGCTGCTGGAACAGCCGCAGCACGGCCTGCACCAGCTCGCTGTTAGGCGGCAGTCGCTGCTCCATGCCGAACACTAGCAGGTGAGTGGAGGTCTCTGACACCAGGAACCTGCCTGCCACCTCTGTGGACAAGGACAGAGTCAAATGGGACTCTCCGTGTACCACAAGACCTCTAGGCTGGCAGAGCCACTGTGCTTGGAGTAGGATAGGACAGAGCCTTCCAAATTCTCTGCCTCTGGCGCAAAACCAGTTACTTAAAGTCTCCAGGGAGAGCTTGTTCACTAATCCTCCCCAAGCAAGCACAAATAGCTTTGGGACCCAGAAGGAAGGAAGCTGAAGAGAGCCAGGTCCTTACAGGAGCCTGGCCTTAGATCTGGCTTTCTTTAGGTCTGATCCCAGCCCTAACAGGGAGAGGCTCCATCATCTCCTGAATCTCACTAGCAGGCTATACTGTTCTCAGGATGCTGGGAGTTTTGTTTGCTTTTAACCCAAAGTAGCATCAACCAGTAACTCACACAGTGTTCATAGCACAAGACACAGTTGGCCACTGACCCAGATGGTCCTTAGATGGTGACCCCAGAAGTCACACTACTGCCTCCAGAACACCTATCCATACCCTATGCTACAGCCATCCATATACTGTGATCCTTCTTTTCCCTGTTCCCCTCTTCTTTGAGTCTGGGTGTTATCACTCCAGTCTGATGTACCTCCTCCTGGCCTTAAGAATCCTCAATACCCCCCTCAACACACACAAAGAAAGGATCCACATCACCAGAGTGGGCACGGCCAGTCTGCCCTGTCTAGAGACCAGGGACAGTAAGAAGAAAGAGCTCACCTCGAAAGTTCTGGCTGAACCTCTTGCCTCGGGAACGGTCAGCATGACTTCCCTGCAGCAGGGTCACATACTGGGACCTCACATGGGGAGGGATGGCCATTTCCTCCACATCCACTCTGTCCAGGATAGGGGCCTGGCTGAGCTGCAGCTGCCGCAGTAGACTGCTCAGGACCTGCTCCTCAGTCACCGCTGCCCCAGGGCCAGCCAAAGGCAGTACCCAGAGTGCCCAGCTGAGCCACAGGAACCACATGGTACTGCCCAGGAGGAACCGTGGATATATATGTCCCTAAAGTGTCCTGAAAGACTCTTGGAGCCTAGATGGTCTGCTGAGGGCAGGTACTGGCCTTCTTTATAGTTGGCCCTGGGGTGGGGGCAGGGAGGAAGGACAAGAAAGGTCACACCCCTGGGACCTCCTGGGAACTCAGCACGAGACAAGCCCCTAAGCCCTGAGGAGGGGCTGTCTTAGAAAGGGTACAGAGAGCTGTCTGGAAGACACCCAGACTGGGATTTCTGGCTATGGGGTCACTGCCTCTCAACAATACTGTTCACTGTTAGAGTTATCTGACAACACACAGTTCTGTTTTGTAGGACAGAGAATTCCTGGAGCAAAAAGCAAGTCTCTTTCACCAGCTGTTGAAGTGGTACCTTCATAACCATGGCTGGGCTGAAACTTTCAGAAACGAGTCTGGGTCAGCCGGACCCCAAGCTTGTGGCAGTCCTTCATCCCCTGCATGCTGGAACTATAGCTGTGCACCACCATGCCAGACCTGTGTAAGACCCTGGACCAGTGACAGTGTAGGTGTAGGTTTGTCCTTGGAAAAGGAAAGAGGGAGCAGAGTCCTGTATTCCAGCTGGCTTTGATCACTTTCACAGATCTCTCGGCGTCAAAGGAACTGTACATCCTTCAGTACCCCCATGGGTCTGTGGAAATGAATCATGGTCGTCATCACACCCTACCCTCCCATGCCAAAGGAAGGTAGGTGGTGCTGACTAGAGATTTTGATAGCACAGTCTCAGGAAACATGAAGCCTGCCCATGTCTCCCTGCTCTCAGAATGTCACAGAATATGCCTCTTCAGACAGCAGTTCCTTCTGGGAGGGCTTGCCCACTAGGCTCATACCACGAGTGCTCAGACTTGTGTCTCACTCATGCCACAGAATTAGGGACAGAAACCTTGCAAACAGAGGCCAGATCTGCCCAGAAGCATGTCCAGTCCACAGCTGCAGGCACCTGACTGTCTCTATCTCTTCCAGCTCCCTTTTAGAACAGCTGGGTCTCAATGCTTGGTAAATTTTATAAATTCTTGGTGCCCTGTTTTTATCATCTAAAGGAGCAGTTGACAATGACAGAAAACCCTGCCTCAAAACAAATATATAACATATATGCATGCATGATACATCAGCAGCAGACACTGTATGAGTGCTCATGTGTGCCAGGCCCCATTCCAAGCTGGGAGTATGGATCCATATAGCCCTTATGAGGCAGGTTTTAGCCTCAAGTGCATCTTTCAGATACTGGTCAGACCACTACAGGACAAAGTCACCTGTCACGGTATGCAGTTAGAGGGGACCTTAGGATACAGATATATACAGCTGCCTCCTAAGGCCTCTTCTGGCTCAGAGATCTAACTGTATACAAAGGGAAATCTTTCCTGTGGTCTATGGGAGGTGTGCAATAGCCATGGAGAAGCTAAGGGCCAAAGGGCCTAGAGAATAGGGATTACCTCTCTCTGCCTTCTCAGTGGAGGACACGGGCCCCTGGGTATGCCCTGTGTTCCATTAAAACTATTTCTGGCTGGGCAGCAGTGGCACACACCTTTAATTCCAGCACTTGGGCGGCAGAGGCAGGTGGATTTCTGAGTTCGAGGCCAGCCTGGTCTACAGAGTGAGTTCTAGGACAGCCAGGACTACACAGAGAAACCCTGACTCAAAAAACCACACCAAAAAAAAAAAATTCTGTCTTTCTCAGACAGCCCTGATAGAAGAGCTGGGCTCCAGGGCAGCATGATTCTGGATAACAGCCCAAATTTTCACCACACACATACACACATGCACACATACACACACACACACACGTACACACACACACACGTGTGCATTCTCATGTACATATTCATATATGTAGAAGGTTTATAGTAGTGAGTGGGTGGGCTTAGAACTTAGAAGAGGAGCAGAAATACCAACTCTGATAGGGCTGAGGGCATAAGTCTGTAGTAAATCATTTGCCTAACATTTGCAAGTCCTTGGTTTTGATCTCCACACTTCAAAGAAAAGAAAAAAAATATCTGTCCCTAATCATAATAGCTAATAAGTCATGCATGCAGTGTGTGTGTGTGTGTGTGTGTGTGTGTGTGTGTGTTTTGAATCAGGGTCTCATTATGTAGCCCAGGCTAGCCTTGAACTCAAAGTCCTCCTACCTCAGTCTCCCTGATGCTCAGATTATAGGCATGCACTACCATGCGTGGCATTGTTAACTCTGTATCCTTACAGTAACAGTTCACAGGGAGGTTTGCATTATTGTTTCCATTTTATAGACAAAGACAGGTAGACATAAAACTGTTACATGATCTGTCCAAGAGCAGACAAAGAGTGCCAAAGTTAGGATTATTGGAATATTTATGACATAGAGTTTGGGGTCACAGGATAGGCAGGCTGAAATTAGAAGAAGTATAGAAATCCTGGCAGCTGGCCCCAGAGTGAAGTCCCAGAGTCCCAGACCAATGACCTGAACTGCTTCTCAGTCACTTTTCTCTTCCTTCCCACTACCGTTTCCAAGGAAACTAGGTAATGCCCCAGAAAGACTTCAAATGTCTCATTTTGGGTCTGGAGGAGGCTCAGTGACTGGGTGCTTACCTAGCATATGCACGGTCCTGGGTTTCATCCCCCAGCAAAGCAAAGCAAAGCAAGCAAGCAAGCAAACAAACAAACAAAAAACTAATCCCATCCTGGAGCTCACATCTCCTAAGGAGAATCCCCTGAAATATAAGACCTCCCCCCCCCCCCCAACTCTGCATCCGGCCCAAACAGGCCCTTGACAAGCATAGCTTTCTTCAAAAGGAACACCGGCTGCCTTCCTTTGCAAGTGATTAACAGGGAAGGGACTTTATGGGATGCCAACATTTGGGGCTTTAGTCAGGCCAAACGGCACAGAGGTGTCACGTTTACAGGCGACCAGAACCTGTGGTCCTTAGTCCCTGGAGGTTTCTGAGCTGATGTGCTACAAATATGCAAGAGTCCACCACCCTTGCAGTGAGTGAAAGGAAACCCTGTGGCTTATCGTAGCCGGCTTCGTGTCAAAATGTAACACCCAAGGCCCCGCTGTCTGGTTCAGTAAGACCAGAGTTAAAGGACAGGCATCTGTTGCTGTTCCTTTCCTGACTCGCAGATGCACACAGGGGCTCTCTACCGCCACCTCATGGATACCTTGGATCTGAGGCCTTCTGGGGCACCCAGAGTGATCAGAATAGCTAACTAAGCCTCGGAAAGGTAAATTTCCAGAGAAGATAGTAGGTGGGGGGACCCTTTGTTTCCTACACTCCTGCTTCCCCAGAGGTATTCTGGGTGCTTCTGCGCTGGAACAGAGCTAAGTTCGGAATTGGGCCCTGGGTAAAACAGGAACTGTCCAGTCACTATTTGGCCTCTCTAAGGACCTGGAATAGGGAATCTCAGCTTTCTGAATCTGTCCTCTGCTTTGCAGAGGGTCTTTTTCTCTGTGTGTCTACTGCATAAGTGTGTTTCCTCGCCTCCAATAAAAACGCCTTTCTTCGAGTCAAGAAGAAAAAAGTCTAGAATACCTGGGAGTCTCTTTAGGGATTTGGAATCCATGAGAACTAAGGCTGAACTGAACCCTTGCCCAGGTTACTCCTAGGGTGACCTCTAGGGGCATGTATAGGATAGGTGATCCACATGGGGAAACTGGGCCCCCTTCCCAATTTAGGGAACACTCCCTGAAGTGCAGGAGCCTGGAGATGTTCAGTACAGTGAAGGACTGGTCTAGACAAGGCCATCCTCTTTCCCTCCTAGTATGTAGAACCAGACATCTCAGAGCAGAAACTGACTATCCAGACAGTGTAGATGATACAGAGAACACAGTCTCAGAGGGGCCGCAGCATGCCAGTCTCACACAGGACTGACTCACAGACACTCCACCTCAAAGGTCAGAGCCTTTCCCACAGCTCAGACTACAGCTGCTGCTGGCTCTACTGCCAGAGGCCATCCATCAGATGCAGGCACCTTGGAAACTCAGACAGCTCAGGGTCCGGTCTGGATGGGGGCAGGGCAGTGTAAGAAGCAGACAGAAAACAGAGGGTCAATCTCCAGACTCCAGTTTCCCAAGACTACTGGATGTGGATTCTCAGCCGTCCCCAGAGTTCTGTTGGGGAAATAGAGCAATTGGGCAATTAGCCACTGCCCAAAGAAGGCTGCAGATGTGGATTAGGAAACTTTTACAGTGGTCAGATTGCCCCAGTAGGGGGAGGGTGGCTACTTTTGTCATGTAAAAGCTAGGCCTCCCCTTCTTATTGTGGATCTGAGTGGGACTGAGTGTCTGAGGTGGAGCCACGTCCGGCCTGAGAGATGAAAGCTTGTCAAACAGCACCTCTGGTCCTAGAGAGCCTTCAGCTGCTCAGAAAGCAGTGTAAATCAGACCTCTCTCCCAAAGGCTTCTGAGGCAGGGACAGTCCAGATTTCTTTGAGATGTTGCAGATATGCCCCCTCCCACTCCACAGCCCCACCCTTCAGAGCTTCTGTGCCTTGGATGTTCTGAGTGGTTACAGAAATGTGGAAAAACACAAATACTTGAGGCTACCACCTGCATGTGCGGTCCTTAGGGCTGGTGCACAAGCACCAATCTCCCCCAGCCCAGTTTGCTCCGTCATCTGGGGCCCATAGTCCACACAGTGGGGCATCATAGAACCTGGATGCAAGCCACCTCTGAGCTTCGGGGTTGGCCCTGTGCCTTCCCTTTCCACAGCCTCTGTCACTCTCTACCTGACAGGTGTGTTCCAGGAGTTACTATGAGTCACCTGTGAGACTTGTGGGTTCCTGCACCCCAGCCTGGCCCTCTGCCTGAATTTCACTATAGACAGGGTCCAGGAATCAGAAGGTGAAGATTCTTCTGTTGGAGACATAGAGCAGAGGGGACAGGGATGTGTCAACGCAGTCAGTCCAGTAAGACAAATGTCTAAGTCAGATTAGAGGATCGGTTCCATTCATAGACAACACAGCCCTTCCAGAGGATGGTACCTGACTA